AATCATAGTTTCATTGAGTTAGACGAGGCTGTGGTCCATGTGATCAGTTTGGTTAGTCTTCTGTGATTGTGCTTTTCTTTCTGTTTGCCCTCTGATGGGTAAGAATAAGAAGCTTATGGAAGCTTCCTGATGGGAGAGACTGACTGAGGGGGAGACTGGCTCTTGTTCTGATGGTCGGGGCCATGCTCAGTAAATCTTTAGCCCAATCTTCTGTTGATGGGTGAGGCTGTGTTCCTCCCCTGTTGTTTGGCCTGAGGCCGGAGCCTCCTGGACGCTCACAGGCAAGTCTGGCTCCATCTCCAGTGGGGTCACTGCTCCTTTCTCCTGGGTCCTGGTGGGCACAAGGTTTTGTTCGTGCCCTTGAGAGTCTGTTTGCCTGTCCTGTGGAAATTCTGTAATCAAATCCCACTGGCCTCCAAAGTCAAATTCCCTGGGGAGTCTCACTCCCTTCACCAGATTCCCCAGGTTGGGAAATCTGCTGTGGGCCCTAGAACTTTCTTAACAGTGTGAGAACTTCTTTGGTGTAATTGTTCTGCATAACTGAATTTCTTTGGTGTAATTGTTTGTATAACTGAATTTCTCTGGTGTAATTGTTCTGCATAACTGAATTTCTTTGGTGTAATGTTTGTATAACTGAATTTCTCTGGTGTAATTGTTCTGTATAACTGAATTTCTTTGGTGTAATTGGGCTCCCCTGGTGGCTCAGCTGGTGAAGAATCCACCTGCAATGCAGGAGACCTGGGTTCCATCCCTGGACTGGGAAGGTGCCCTGGAGAAGGGAACGGCTACCCACTCCAGTATTCTGGCCTGGAGCATTCCGTGGACTGTACAGTCCATGGGGTCATGAAGAGTTGGAGAGACTGAGCGACTTTCACATGCACAACTGTTCTGCAGTTTGTGAGTAGTCTGCTCGGCGGCTCTACGGCGGGTGGGGCTAATGGCAAAAGAGAGGGTCCTCCACGGAGAAGGTCCTCCAAGGACTGAACTGAAGAGGTGGCAGAACCGACTGTATTTAAAGATCTCCTGTTGTGAGAAGGAGTGAAAAATTGGTTTTCTCAAGCCTAAATATGCCTGGAAAAGTTTATACCTAGACATTGAGAGAATAGAATGAAAAAGTTTTGCTAAACAATGCTTACAAGTGATTTACTTTAAAAAAAACTTCTAAAAAAAGTTGAAACAGAAATATGGGAAAAGATATACATGAGGAAGAATTAGTCTAGCACTCTTAAATGGCAGGTAAAATGGATTTTAAGGCAAAGAAAAACCCCTCACAAATAGATGTAGAGAGGCATCAAGTAGTAATAAAAGGAATGAAGCCTCAAGAAGATGTGATGATCACGGCATTGCAGGCTCTGAATACACAGCCTCACGGAGAAGGTTACTGAACCAGAGGGGGAAAGGGTCCATCCACAGCCACAGTGGAAAGAGTTAAAATACTTCTCTACAAGACGAAGACAACAACAGCAAAGAAAAAAAAATTAAAATGGTAAGAATACAGACTTGCACAGCACAGTTGAAAGACTGAATCTCAAACACAGAGCGCGGTAGCTGTGTGGAACACGCACCTAGAACCACAAACACAAGGTGCGGCTGTAAAACACAAAGCAAATCTCAACAAACTCCAAAACCGACATCTCTTAGTCTGTGATCACAAGCCAAATGCAGCTCAATTAGAGATTTATAGAGAGAGGATTAATAAATTGACAAGTTAGTTCTTTGAAAAGACTTAAAGTTTACACAAGATTCAGGGGAAAAAAAGTCCCCCAAACTCTGGATGATGTATAACTTCCAAGAAAGAATTTTTTAAGTCCCAGTCAATCTGAAAGAAGAAAGGAAAGGAAAAAAGAGTATAGAATAAAACAGGGAACATTTTAGAATAGAAAAGTGAAAGTCGCTCAGTCCCGGCCAACTCTTTGTCACCCCATGGACTGTACCATCCATAGACTTCTCCAGGCCAGAATACAGGAGTGGATAGCTGTTCCCTTCTCCATGGGATCTTCCCAACCCAGGGATTGAACCCAGGTCTCCCACATTGCAGATTCTTTACCAGCTGAGCCACAAGGGAAGCCCAAGAATACTGGAGTGGGTAGCCCATCCCTTCTCCAGGGGATCTTCCCGACCCAGGAATTGAACCAGGGTCTCCTGCATTGCAGGTGGATTCTTTACCAGCTGAGCTATGAGGAAAGCCCTTTAGAAGCATGAATTAAATAACTATTCAAGAGAGTTATACTGTCCCTAAAACCTTTACCACACAGCCACAAAAGATAGTAGTCACAGAGTTTTACAAGTGACTTTTAAGAAACATTCAAGGTAAAAATACTTCTTTTGCAAAATATTTTCAGTGAATAGAAAAAGAAGAGAAAGTCAGCTCACAAGTGTATTATGAGATTGATTTAGAAACTGAGCAAGACACTCAGAAATAAAATTTTAAGTCATTTAGTTATCATCATAAAGGTACATCGCTGAAATAAAACACTAGCAAATCCAGTTCAGCAATCTGAATTGGATGCCCACAGCTACATGTCTCATAACCAAGTAGAATTCATCCCAGAGCCATGGATGGGCTAAATATCAGGAAACTTTTCAATATAATTTACTGCTTTAACGCACTCCCCTGGTGGCTCAGATGCTAAAGAATCTGGCTGCATTGCAGGAAACCTGTTTGATCCCTGGGTCGGGAAAATCCCTGGAGAAGGGAATGGCTACCCACTCCAGTATTCTTGCCTGGAGAAGCCCATGGACAGAGGAGCCTGGGGCGGGCTACAGCCCGTGGGGTTGCATAGGGTGGGACATGACTGAGCGACTAACACTATTGGTCTAACAGAAGAGTGAAGAAAAACTGTATCATCCGTTCAGTAGATGCAGAAAGACCTCAGCAGAACTCAGCAATACTTTGTGATTGAAGTATCTGCAGATGAGATGAGCCAGTTATCAGTTTACTGCCCCCAGCCTCCAGCCCACCCTGCAGGTCAGGTTGGTGCGGAGCAGCCCTGGCCCCTCAGTGAGTGCGATGCTTAGCTCTGCCACAAGGGGGCGGCGGGGACCCGCGGGTGCAAAGGGCCTCTGCTCTGGGTCCAGCTGGGACCGGTCAGTGGCATGGGGACACGCTGAGGTCCCTGCTCCACCCAAACTTCCATGCAGCATAAGTATCATCCAGAACGACCAGTGGAGGCTTAACCAGGGCGGGCAAGCAGGTGGAAATCTTTTGGAATGAATGTGATGAATACAGTCACCGATGTAGACCTTGAGTTACGTGCCCCAGGGTATCCACTACCATGTTTCCGCTCCTTCCTTCTACATATGGTAAGTCCAAGATTCTCGGGACTGCTCTCACTTTTTCTTGACGTTACCAAACAAAACCCCACAGCCTGACCATGAAAACAACAGACTTTCGAATTGCTGGTGACATACGTATCATCAAGAAATAGAAAAATGAAGTTTAACACTGGGGGTCCACTGGTTAAGACTCTGGGCTCCCGATGCAGGGGGCACAGGGTCAGGTCTGGCTGGGCAGTAAGATCCCACCCGCCACAGAGCACGGCCAAAAACAGATGTTTTTAATTAAACAAGTGGAAATAAAGTTGAATAGCTATGGATCGCTGACCTAAATAACCTACAATAACTCATTTGGTTAGTCCCTGTTCCAACAATTAGAAGATTTTAGCTGGAGTGTAATGATGTTTAAGAAGATAACATAGGAAATAAATTTAGGTTATTGTCATTTTGAAGAGATAAGAAAACCAGAAAACTACACTCTGCATCATAAAATGATGAAATACCCTGCCAAGCGCACTTGGACTTGATAACAAAACCTCACAGGAAGGGGTGCGAAGCTCCAGGCAGGTAGCCCCGCTGCCCAAGCCGGTTCCAGTCCTGAGGGGCCACGGGGCCGCGGGGCCTGGGGCCTGCTTGACCCTCCAGCAGACCCTCCACGGCCACCGACGATGCTCCCCTCCCTGGGCCCCTCTTCCCAGGGCGGGGAACACGGCACCCATGTCCTGGGGGAGGGGGCTCTGGGCTCTGGGCAGGGTCGCTCCACGGGAGGGCCTCCCTGCCAGCTCGGGACCTGTTCCCAGAGCTCCGGCACGGCCATTCTGGACTTTCGCTCTGGACTCACCGTCACCCCACCATCATCAGCTCCTGCTTTTATCAGCTTCAAGACATTTTTGGAAACGGTCCCTTATGAAGGGACCACCACTGTTCCTCTTTCAAATATGGCTTTTACTTGGGACGTGGTTTTTTCTCCACCAGTCAGGTGCCTGCAGGCAGGAACCCCTGCTCCACCGCTTCGGAGGCAGCCTTGGTCCACTGTGGGATGTGGCAGGTCTCTGGGCAAAACTGACCCTGGAAGCCGGCTGGCAGAACCCTCAGGGTAGGGACTGTACACCCACAGTTGTCAGGACCACGTAAGGCCACAAAGATGCATAGAAATCCCATCGTTGTCAGTACACCTTAACCATGTCACCGCTCGACACACAATCAGGTTAAACATCACGCTGACTAAGCCGCGCTCGCATTTCTTTATGACACCACCACTCGGGACATATACGCGCCGGCACTATGATAGACCTTTCTCTCATAGGCAATCGTAAGAGGCAAACTTCCCTGGGTCAGGAAGATCCCCTGGAGAAGGAAATGGCAACCCACTCCAAGATTCTTGCCCGGAGAATCCCATGGACAGAGAAGCCCGACGGGCTACAGTCCATGGGGTCGCAAGAGTCGGACACGAGTGAGCCATTGAGCACGCACAAACAAAACAAGCCTTTACCTAGAAGTCTACTCTGAGCATCTGTCCTAGAGCAGCTCTCCTAAAGGGCCTGGGGCCTCCCGCCGGGAAGGCTCCTGAGCCAGGCCTGGCTGCCTTCCCGCTCCCCGTGCCCCGACCCGCGGACGGGCACCCTGAGCAGGACGGCGGGGCCGCGCCGGGCCGTGAGCAGCAGGCGCAGGACGCGCACGGAGGCTCGGCCCGCATCCCCGGCCCCGCCCCGCGTCGCACTCACGTGGCGACGGTGTTGAAGCCGCAGGCCCGCAGCTTGAGCAGCCGGTCTCTCCAGGAGGCCCGGGGCACTCGGAAGTAGTGGACGGAGCCCCCGAGGATGAGGAACTCGTGGCCCTCCAGCGTGAAGTAGGGGTTCCGCCCGGCTCGCTCCTCAGTCTGAATCCCCCGCGAGCGGTTCTTCAGCTGGCAGGGCGTCAGGTGCGACCAGTCAAACCTGTTGGGGGCCCAGAGTAAGAGGTGGGGGTGGCGGGAGCGAGGCTTTGGGAACCCCGCCCGGAGAGAAGGCGCTAGCAGCTTCCATGACAGAAATCAGACGCTGCTGCAGCTTCAGCCCAGAAAGGAGAGGGGCCGCCTCCCCCCTGCTCAGGCAGACCTGCGAGGGTTCGGGTGCAGCTTTCTGTGTTCGAATATAAAGTTGTTTCTGTGTTTCGCCGGAGGAGCAAAACTCGATGAGACAAGTGGCAGGAAAAGGACGCAAAAGACTCTTCTCCAGGAGAGACGGGGGCTGAAAGGACAAGGAAACCGCCGTGACCCCGGCAGGCGGGGGAGGCGCCGGAGGGACCCCGGAGCGGCCCCGGCGGCCGGCGGCGGGAGCGGGTCTCCGTGCTGAACCAGGGCCGCCGGGGCTGTCCCGCCGCCCGCCTCATTCTGCGCAGAGGGCTGCCTGTGGACTTTGCCTCCTAGAGGCCTGTGGCCACGAACAGGGCAGGAGGGACACCGGGGAGGGGTCCCGGGGACGTGGAGGAGGGGACGGGGCCGCCCTTCTTCCCGGGGGTGCTCGCCGAGGCGGGCTTGGGCCCGGGCAGAGGCCGCGCTGGGGGACTGCCGCCCCGGGCAGTCTGAGGGCCCGCGAGGCCGCCTGCCCCAGGCGAGGGCCCCAGGCTGACCGCGGACAGACAGTGGGAGGTCTCGGAGGCTCTGGGACGAGGACGGGGAGCGGCGGGGGGGTCTCAGGGAACCCGCGCCTGGGGGGCCCATGGGCTGCGGGATGGGGGGCCTTCACCTGGAGCGCGGCGGGGAGCCCATCCCCGCGAGGGGAGGCGCCCAGGTCCCCCGACGCCGGGAGGAGGCGGAGGGAACAGCGGGACGGATGCCTCTGCGCACAGACGCCTCTCAGCTGCGGGAAGGAACCGGAGGGTTAGGGTCATCGCCCTGAGCTTGAATTCCAGCAGCATCCGGGACTTCAGGGCGTGAGGAGAGCTCGAGGGCGGCTGCGGAGGGCAGGCGGTCAGCGCGCCCCTTGGCTCCTGGTCCACTGCCGCAGACGCCCTGCAAGGAGGACACCGGGCGCGGGGGCGCGGGCGCGGGCGTGAGCCCCCGGGGAGGCGTCTCCCCAACCCCCTGCAGGAGACGGGGAGAGTCACAGAGGCGGGCACAGAGGGACGCCGGTGGACGGAGAGTGCATCCAGTGTCTGAGGCGCGGGTCACCGCGGGGGCCTCGTTGCTGGGCGTCTCCTGCGGGAGGCTGCAGGCGGACCGTCAAGCCAGGTATCAGTTCTAAGGAGACTGCCTGGTGCACGGTGGAGGCGAGGTGAGAAGCAGGTCATCGAGGAGCCGGGGCTCCCAGGAGGAGCACCCGAGCTGTTCTCCTGGTCCCTACACTCCGCGAAGACAGGAAGGGATTTTAGGAGAATTTCCAGGTGAAATGGGGAACTTCTGGTAATTGACTGATGAAGCAGGTGCTTGAGAGAGAGGAGGCAGACAGCCCCTGTGCTGGAGGCCAGGCGAGCAGGGTAGACAGTGGGGACGTCTCCTGAGACCAGAAACGCAGGTCGGGGTAGAGATTTGAACGCAGAAAGGAGCGCTGATCCCTGTCTGGAACACCTGGACGTGACCTCCCGGGATGAAAATCTCTTTTCAGGGACTGGAAAATCAGACAGTCCTCTGGCCTTTTCTCCCTGAAGCCCTTGCTTTTCCTCTGCCACTGGAAAGAGCAGAGCTCGTGGTACCAGATGGATATCAAGACTAGAGCTTTCAGGGAGCATTGTGTGTATTTGTTATTCTTGTCTTGCTCATTACATGTCCATCCTTGAGACCCAACCTCCCTAAGAATTTTGTATAATGTCCCTCTCTCTCTCATTCTTAGGTTGGATGCAGGGGGCTGCCTTGACTTTCTTAAACACAGAAGCGCAATGTTTCATTTCTTTGAGTATACTGCTTTATCAATTTGGTTTTACAGCCACAGAACTGTAATCTTTTTTATCAGGATTTTAAAAACTATTCTAGGGTCTGTGACTTTCCATGTACAATTTAGGAAAAGCTTTTCTATTTCTACCAAAAGCCATGCTGACATTTTGATGGGAATTGCATTAGACCTTCCCCCTCCCTTAGGAAGATTTAGCATCTTCACTGTGTTGAGTCTTCAAATCTATGAACATGCTGTGTTTCTGTATTCACTTGGGTCTTCTTTCACTTTGGGGGGGGGGCTTCCCTCATAGCTCAGACGTTAATGAATCCGCCTGCAATGCGAGAGACCTGGGTTCGATCCCTGGTTGGGAAGATTCCAGTATTCTGGCCTGGAGAATTCGGTGGACTATATAGTCCATGGGGTCAAAAAGAGTTGGACATGACTGAGCGACTTTCACTTTTTTGATCAGAATTTTGTGTTTTTTCAACGTACAGAGCCTATGCATATTTTTTAGCTGTATACTTCGGTGTTTCATTTGGGGGGGGCTATTTTAAAATCACTTATTTACTTTTGGCGATGCTGGGTCTTTGTTGCTGCACAGACTTTTCTCTAGTTGCAGCACGAAGGGGCTGCTCTCCAGCTGTGGCATGCAGGCTTCTCATTGCCGTCGGTTCTCTTATTGTGGCGCACGGGCTCTGGGGCCCTCGGGCTTCAGGATTCGTGGCTCCCGGGTATAGTCGCTTCAGGGCATGTGGGATCTTCCCTGACCTGGGCCTGAACTAGTATCCCCTGCATTGGCAGGTGGATTCTTTAGCACTGAGCCCCCAGGGAAGTCCCTCTTTTGAGCTATTTTAAATGGTATGGTATTTTCAAGTTCAATTTCAGCAAATTCATTGTTAGCATAGAGAAATGCAGCTGGGCTTCTCGTGTAGATCTGGTATTCTGTGACCTTGGTATTCTCTCTCATTAATTCTACATGGTTGTTTTGAAAACACAGTTCCACGGGACTTTCTAAAGCAGCAGTTACGTTAGGAATTCCCTGGTGGTCCAGTGGTTAGGACTCGACGCTTTCACTGCCAAGGGCCTGGGTACGATCCCTGGTCAGGGAACTAAGGTCCCACAAGACACATGGCCAGAAAATAATAATAATGATAAATAAATAAAAGAATCTGGGATAGAAGAAACAGAGCTGAAAATTGAGGGAAAAGGATCTTTTAAAACAGAAACAGTCATGTTATCTGCAAATACAGTTTTTTTCCTTTCCAATCTCTTTTAATTCTTCTTATCCCATTGTGGTAGCAGGAGTTCCCAGTACTATGTTGAATAAAAGTGTTAAGAACCATCCTTACCTGTTTTCAGGCTTCAGGTAGCAAGCAGTTGTTTACCACTACGTGTAATAATGTTAAGTGTGTGTGTGGGGGGTATACATTGTTGATCAATTTGAAGTGGTTTCCTTATAGCCCTCTGTTATAGGACACTCTAACAGAGCAAGTCTGTGACACTCGTGGAAAATACAGCAACACTTCTGCTCAGAAACATCTGACCTTCACAGTAAGAGGGGTAAACAGGGGTAAACCAGGGAAGTGGGCTGAGGACCAGCCTGCCAGCGCAGGAGACACAGGCTGGCTCCCCGGTCCAGGAAGACACCACATGCTTACAACAGCTAAGCCCATGCTCTGGAGCCCACCCTAGAACCCATGCTTCACAACAAGAGAAGCCAGTGCCCCACAGCTAGGGGCAGACCCTAGCTCTGCTCCCTGCAGCCAGAGAAAGGCCATGGCAGCAGCGAAGGCCCCGCACAGCCAAAACCAAAATGCAAGATGATTCTTTAAAAAAAAGAAAAAAGAGGGGTAAATAAAAACGATTAAAATGTGTCAGGTCAATGCCTGAGAGGTTTTGTTTCCAAATTTGCTCACACTGGTCAAGCTTTGCTGCCAAATAATTTTAGAAGACACTTCAGGCTTTAGTGTTTGTGGGTGCAGAGATTACGGATAAGGGACTGTACGTGTTTAAGTGTTAGCTCTGTTCCTGGAGCATTCATAGAGCTCTAGCTTCAAAAGGCCAAATGGACAGATCCTCCAATCTTGTCCCCTGAGCCAAGCAGTGGGAATAATCAAGGACAGACTCCACGTTCAGCAGCTAAGTAGAGAAGTAAACTCAAAAGCAAGAGGAAGCAATGCCCAACGGCCCAGAGGTCAGGAACCCCGACAGATGAAGTGCGTGGATCACACTCCAGGGGAGGCCACTTGGCAGGGCCGCAGGGAGGGCCTGGGCCTCTAACCAAGGAGCGAGCCGTGGAGAAAGGGCGGATCCCCGGGCCGGGGGTCGGACGGGGTGACGGCCCCGGTCGCAGCCTCAGGTGGGGCCCTTGGGCCCGGGGTGGGGGTGGGCCGGGGCCGTGGCCTCCCTGCCTCGCTGGCCCGCAGGGGATTCCTGCACTGGTTCTCTGTATCAGACAGTAGGTCCCCGCTTTGAGTTTCCACAGGTGGAAACCTGCGTGTGCACGTCCAGCCCGTGAGTGAGTCCGCATGTCTGGTGTGCGTTGTCCCGGGCGTGCACCCTCTGCACGTGGCTGTGCCTTCGTGCCTTGCCGCCCAGCAGTGTGGAGGTTGGCAGCACACAGCACGCAGGCCCCTCGGTACGGAGGTACAGTAAGGGTTAAAGGGAACAAACTCACAAGAGGGAAGTAGAAATTTACACCCCCCCCAAACTCTGATCACCCCGGGGCCAGCCAGGGGGTCAGTGTGCGCCCTGGCCCAACCTGGCAGCACCCCGTACTTACAGGGCCCCAGGTCGGAAGCAGCTCCACGTCCACGTACGGAGGTTCCCCGTTTGAAGAACTGACCGTCTCAGGAAAAGCTCAGCCGACTCTCAGCTGAGCTGAACCAAGCAGACGCGCGGAGGCTGTCCGTGCTCAGCCCTCCAAGGCGAGGCGGGCGGAGCCTCCGGGCCACCCAGTCCCCCAGGTCAGGGCACTGCCAGGCCCCTGGGCTCACCCACTGTGCCAGCTCTCCCCACCTGTCCTGACTGATGAGCAGGGCGGTGATCCCGCCGAGAGTCAGGCTTCTGGTCTGGGACTCATGGACATGACGAGGAGTTCTCGTGATGGGTCACCACCTGGGACGATGGTGGAGGCTGCCTGGGGCTGTCCGGCCCAGACGCACTGGAGGAGGGAGCGTTTCTCAGTCCCCATCGGCCCCCTCCCACCTTCCATCCTCTGCCTTCGTTTGCTCAACCACCTGAGACTGATCGTCCCCCCTAGGGCTGCACCAGTCTACCTACCCATGTGTGTGTGAGTGTGTATACGTGCGCGCGCGTGTGTGTATGCACCACCTGCCTGTTTTCCAGAGCAGTGAGTTCCACAGTTGCTGTACTGTCATTACAAGGCACCTCCAGGGCCAACGAGGGTGGCCGGGGACTGCCCAAGGCAGCCAGCGTCCAAGGCTTTCCAGGTGTCTTGGCTCTGCCAAAGCGCCAGCCAAGGCCTTTAGCGTCCAGTCCCAGATGACAGGTAAGACGCTGGTGCCGGTCCACCGGGCTGGGTGAGTGTGCTAGTCTGCTCTTCGGCAGGAGCAGCCCGGAGGTCAGCCCGCCGTGAAGGCTGGCGCCACCGCCGCGACGCCCCGGAGGGCCCGCCCACCTCCACTCGAGCTGTTTCCCCAGTAAAACAGGCACCTTTCCAGGTGCTGAGTCTCACAGGCAAGACCCCAGCCCAGTAATTTACTACATGTCTGTGTGCTCGATTGCTCAGTCGTGTCTGACTGTTTATGACCCCACAGACCGTAGCCGGCCAGTCTCCTCTGTCCATGGGATTATCCAGGCCAGAATACTGGAGTGGGTCGCCATTTCCTTCTTCAGGGAATCTTCCTGACCCAGGGACTGAACTCAGGGCTCCTGCATTGGCAGATGGGTTCTTTACCACTGAGCCACCAGTGAAGCCCCAGTGATGTCTTAGGCAAAGGTATTAATAATCTGAGAGTGGGGAGAAGGTCCTCTGTGTATGAAGTGATGCTGGCCTTTGCAGCCCAGGAGAGCTCATAGCAGGAGGCTTCATTTTCATGTCATGATGGAACTCTTTGGAATTTCTCTCATAACACTGAAATTTGATTACAAGAAGACCTTTATCAGGATAAGAATGCTGGATCAGATAGTCATGACTTTCCTCACTATGAGGCAACCTGTCTTCCACGGTATCTCAGAAAAAAGATAAAGGCTTCACACCTGAAGGCACGGGGACAATGACCAGAGGAGTGTATGGCCAAAGAGTGCAACAGGCCCTGAAGTGGAAATGTTCATCGCTGAGTCATATCCGCCTCTTTGGGACCCCAAGGACTGTAGCCTGCCAGACTCCTCCGCCCATGGGATTCTCCCAGCAAGAATACTGGAGTGGCTTGCCATTTCGCTCTCCAGGGATCTTCCCGACCCAGAGATCAAACTTGGGTCTCCTGCATTGCAGGCGGGTTCTTGATCATCTGAGCCACCAGGGAAGCCCCAACAGGCCCTGAGGTGGCCGGAAACAGTAATTCTGTGAGATCGGTCTAGTCTCTTCTGGATGACTTCCAAGGCTGCTGGCTGGAGGAGTCCACTGAAAGTTGGCATCTGTCTAGCTAGCTAGCTGATAGTGGGTTTACTGTTTTTAAATGAATTAAGCAACAGATATTTACAATTTTTTAAAAACTTCACACCTCCATGATGCTGCATGCCTACCCAAACACCCCAGGTGATTCCAAGGCTGACTTGTGCGCTAGGGCCTGAGATGGTTCCTGGGTCTTGGTATTTACATCTGGCGCAGTGGTGAGTAAAGTCCGAGTTACCGTGAAAGCGTGGGCGGCTGTGTGTCCTGTCGGCTCTGCGGCTGGCCCGCTGCACACCTAGGGTGAAGACCCCCTGCCTTCACGGGCAGCAGCAACAAGTGCCCTGCTGGCTCTGGGCACCCCCGGGCCTGTTGTTGGATGCCGTCCCTCCTTCCCAGAAGGTCCCGGTTCCCTCTTCCTTTCCGCGGGTTTCGGGAACAGCATAACATGAGGAAACACCCTGCTTTGAGCTGAGGGGCCCTTTGCACACGGCCGTGACGGAATCCAGACACATCCGGCTCCCGGAGGCCGGCGGTCTGTCCCGGGTCCCCGACGAGTCTGCCCCCTGCCCTCTGCTGCTCTGCGCAGAGCTGCGTCTGCTCCCCCCGGGAACAGACATGAACATGATTTCAGAGGGCGGTGCTCTGACGGTTGGGGGACAAACGGACCACCAGCCCCGTCCCCGGAACGCCACGTGCTCTCAGCCCAGCTCCACCCAGGGGGCCGTGGGCGCGCTTTGGGAGGCTCTGGGAGGCGGGGAGCCCGTGTAACCATGTGCACACGCAAGGGCCGTCACGGGCCGGGGTTGGGGGAGGCCTCCCCCTCCCCGAGGACAGCAGGTCCCTGGGGTCATGCACGCCGAGCCCTGACGCCGGCCCCGAAGCGGATGAGTGTTCTCTTCCCGCAGGCGGGCAGCGGAAATGAGCACCAGTCCATTTCCGGTCTGCATCTGAGTCGGTAAACTTGCTTCAAAGCGGGAAGCTCAAGAAAGGGCTCCTACTGACAGAAGCCGGCTGAGCTCAAGTTGCAGGGGGTCTCCCCTCCCCCTGGGCTCCTCTGGCAGGGGCTGGAGCGGGCAGCCCCCCGAGAACGCGCCCTGGAGACGCCGGCACCTGCGCGGAGGCCACAGTCCCCTGCCAGGGCCTGCCTCCAGGCCTGCCCTGGAGGCCCTGAAACCAGGCCCCCTGAGATACAAGGAGCGTTCAGTCCGCTTGCGGAGGTTTTCAGCACAACCCAGGTGGGACTGTTGGGCGCCACTCCGTTCCGCTCACTGTGGTGACTCCTCCGCGCCTAACGCTGAGAGGGATCCCAAAGACCCAACAATCGAAGAAAACCGCCCGCCGACTCACACGGGCAGAGGACTGCCACCCATGTGCTTTGTTCACAAGTTACCGGTTTTCCGTGTAAGGCGCTGCCCTCGGTTATCAGGGGGAAACAGCACTGATGGCTCCGAAGGCCTCTTCCTGCAGGTCCCAGGCATGGGGAGAGGTCTCGGCCAGCCAGAGCGCAGCCACTGTGCCCGGAAAGGCCCGTGACGAGGGAAGCGGGCCCGACGGTGATGGTGGTGTCCACGCCGGCTGTCACCCCAGGGGTAGGTGCTCCTGGCACCTGGCGAGCAGACGCCAAGCGTGCAGCCCGACAGCTTGGGGGGCACAGGGGGCCCACCCCGCAGCCACGAGGCCGGGAGGAGGGCTGCCCTGGCTGAGGTCGTGCACGCGGGAGGCTGGGGGGGCGGCCTCGGTCCAGCAACGCCCAAGGACCTGGTAGGCGCACGCATTCTGGGGGTGCGGCCCAGCACCCACCCGGGCCCTCTGGGGGTCTGTGCTGCACACCCAGGGGGGCCCACAGTGGGGAGAGCGGCGGGAGCGGCACGACTGACCGTCTCGCTGGGTTCTCCCTCCTGCACTTCTCGAGAGCGTGGGCGATGAGGGCAGCGCCCCCGACCGCCTTGGGCGGCAGGAGGCCTGGTCCGCGCCGGGCAGCTGCCTGGACACGCGGGGTGCAGGCTGAGCGCTCGCGACCCTGACTTTCTGGTCGACTGGGGCGGCGAGTGTAGCCCCCACCTGGGCTGACTGCGGCCACTCGGTCGGTGGCTTGGAAATCCTCAGCCACCTGCCGCACGGTGCCCACGCACCTCGTGGGGACCCCCTTTCCCCAGGGTCCATCTGCACTGGAATCAGCAGGCCTTCCCTCTGCCTGCCCTTGCCGAGGCAGCAGGCTGCCCCACCCGAGTGTGGAGATGGCTCTGGGGCTCCCCGCTGTGGCTCAGAGTGAGGCGTGCGCCCCAGGGGAACCTCGAGCAGGAGAGGAATCCACGGGCACTGGGAGTCAGGGGCCGGGGGAGGGGCATGGAGTGGGAGGGGAGCAGGGGGATGAGAGGGGCACAGGACCAGGCCACCTGGAGTCTTGAGTCTCCAGGAAGCAAGGTTTCCATAGGAGTGTGGAAAAGCAATGATGTATGGAGTGAGACTTGGGGAGTTACAGGAAAACCCTTTCTTAACACTGAAAATATAAAACATATGAACTGCCTGCCAATCCCTCACTTAGCGTTCATATTTGATTTCTCAGGAAGACAGCTGTTGTTCCAGATTCACATTTGTGGGGTCAAGTGCTCTGAGCATCTCTTCACCACTGTCCTCAGGGACCAGCAGCTTTTATTACAGAAGCATGACAGAGGGCTGGCTTTGGTCAGTTTGCTGTGTTTATTGTGTTCCGCTAACAGGGAAGCTGACTTATGCCAAAGGAGGAACGGGCCGGCTGGTGGGGAAGCAGACGGCAGACCCGGCAGGTTCAGGCCTCACAGAATCTCTGGAGTGGTCCCGGCGACTGGGCGGGCCTGGAGGACTGGCAGGCGCTCAGGGCTCTGAGATGGCTCAGCTCAGCCACAGCCCGGTTAACATCAGTCTCAGTACCCTGAGGAGGAGGGGCGGCCAGTCTGACATTGCGCTCAGTACCCTGGGAAGGAGGGATGGGTGGTCTGACCTCAGTCTCAGTACCCTGAGGAGGAGGGGCAGCCGGTCTGACATTGCGCTCAGTACCCTGGGAAGGAGGGGCGGGCAGTCTGACCTCAGTCTCAGTACCCTGGGAGGGAGGGGCGTGGTCTCCCTTGGCCCCGCCCCACCCTGGGGGAGTGGGTGGAGGAGGTGGCTCCGCACTGGGGTCCGGGCAGGGGCAGCTCCGGCTGTCCTGGCTGGGCCGCGCGTCCCCCACCCTGTGACGGCCAGGAAGGGCCCAGGGGCCATGGCAGCAGGAGACACAGCAGACGTGGCCGTGAGAACCTCGGAAAGGCCGGCAGGGGAGGTGCTAGGGCAGGTACAGCGTGACCGGGACCCGGGCAGCATGCGCAGACGCCTCGGGAGGCGGCAAGCTGCCAGAGCCGCTTACGGGGAGGAAGCCCCTTACCCAGCTGGGAGACGTTGCTGAAGTAGATCAGCAGGGCGGACTTGAACTCCTCAAACACGATGATCTGCAGAGAGGCAGGGGTGCCCCTGAGACACATGCTGGGCGGGGTGGGGTGAGCACGGCCCGGGGCGGGGAGAGGTGCAGAGTGGGAGGTCACCTCGTTTAACCCGGGCTTGAGCCAGGGTCCCGGGAGGTAAAGCGTTTCCTGGGGCCCGAGGTTCCAGTAGCGTCCCAGGTTCTGTCCATTGATGAAGACCACTCCTTTCGTCCAGCCCTGGAAGACATTGAAGCAGAGTTGCAAGACACACAGACACACACACACGACGCAGGTTGCGGCCACAGCCACACTCAGCACGCAGGCCCAGCTGCGGCCATCGAGAGAGGGTGGCCTGGAGACTCTGCGCTGTTGCCCCTGCCCGGCCTTGGCTCCTGCTCCGGGCCCCCAAGAGGGAGGCACTGGGTTCCAGCTCACCTTCCATGTGCACCCACCTCAGGGCCCCACCACGTCCCCACTGCCGCCCACCCCCCACCCCCAGGACACAGGGTGGCAGGCAGCTTGGGCACGTTTCTTTGGCCTCCCTCCCCACCCTGAGTCAACACCAGACAGCCGTGGGGTGGCGAAGGTATCCTGGGACAGAAGCTTGGCTGGGGACACAGCTGGGAAGAAGACCACTCACCCGCAGGCTCATGAAGGTGTCCTTGGGTTGACTGCCGACTCTCAGGAGGGCAAGGAAGAATGCAGGGCCCTCAGCGTGGAGAAAGCTGGGCTTCCAGATGTTGGGGATTTTCCTAGGGAGAGTCAGTCCAGTGGGCAGGTTACACCCTCCTTGACAGCATGTCAGCTGTGCCTTCGGAGGGCTGTCTCCTCCCTGCTGAGTCCAGTGTCCCCTCCAATGGCCCATTTGGGGTCCACAACACAGCAGTGAGACAGCAGACCAAGGCCGGGGAGTGGGGGCAGTAACCACTCTGTCCTGGACAACTAGGAGACTTGGGGTCGCTTTCTTCAGTGTTCTGGGTCTCTGCCTCTTGTGTGAACACAAAAAGGTCTGGCTGGCTGGCCTCTGGTCTCCCGATCTGTGATCAGGCACCTAGAGCCAGTGGTTGGGCACCCACCTCTGTATGAATTTATTCTGCATCTCCAGGCTGTAGATTTTAAATTTTCTCAGTGGAGAACTGTTTAGATAGATGTTCCCAGTAAGACCTGCAGAAGAGGGGGGAGAGGACACCGAGGCAGGGCAGCTGCAGATAAATGCCCCTGGCCCCCTGAAGGAGAATGGAGGAGGTCAGGGGAGGCTGGGGAGGACGGAGGAGGCCAGGGAGGATGGAGGAGGTTAGGGGAGGAGGATGGAGGAGGCCAGGGGGGATGAAGAAGGCCAGGGGAGGACGAAGGAGGATGGGGAGATTGGAGGAGGCCAGGGGAGGATGAGGAGAACGGAGGAGGATGGGGAGGCTGAAGGAGGCCAGGACAGAGGCATGGGCTCCAGGGAGGGACAGTCAGCGAACCCAGGGCAGCACTTGGCCCACTTTCTTCTCCAAGGGTGTTTCTGCAGCCTCCTCCCGGAAGAGGCAGGGCACTCTGCGCACTCAGTGCTGGGAGAGCACCTTCGGGGGCGCCTAGAGCAGGACGTGACCCTCCTCCCCTTGAAGCCCGCTCTGTCATGCTCCCGGGCAGGCCTCTCACTGACCGGGAGCCCCTGCCACTTCCAAACCGTGATCCCGGTCACGGCTGCCCGTGCTGGGGAAGCACCCCAGGAGTGCCCTGGCGCCTCCTCTGCCAGGGCGCACCTTTCCTCTCCTGGTTCATGCTGGTCCCGGAGGCAAGCCGTCCTTGGTTCTCCACCAGGATCCTCAGCGTCAGGAACTCCTTGTGATGCTGCCCAACACACACCAGCTGGGGGGGGTGGCACTCAGGCCTCTTCTGGAGACCACTGGGACCCCCCCAAGACTGGGACAATCTCGGAAACTGGGGGCTGTCGGAGGGTGGGGCTTGGCACCCCAGACCTCAGCTCCGGGCCAGGCAAACCCTGACGCTCCTCCTCCACCCTCCTCCCATACTGGGCCTGCCGAGAAATGAAGAGTCATTGAACAGTCTACTGGAGACTCTTCTGAGGCTGGTGATCAACCCAGAGCTTTCTGAGCAGCAAACACCCAGGGTGGGACAGTCCTGCCCGCCCCCCGAGGAGCGCACGGCTCAGCCCTGCGGGCCCTCTGTGAGGAAGCCCAGGGCCCCAGGGGGCTGGAACAGAGGGGTATGTACGTCATTGTGAAGAATCAGCCTTTGATGCGCGTCATCCAGGACTCCTATATACTTGTCATCCAGAAACACCTGCCAAAGAGAGCGGGCAAGACTGTGGGTGCAGATAGGGCAGGAGGGGGTGAGGTGCCAGGGTCCCAGGGGAGGACTAAGTCTGCTTCCAGGAAGGCGACCAGCTAACACCGGTCCACAGAGAGGGGACACTGAAGGCAGCTTGGCCCAGGGGCGTGAGGAGAGCCCAGAGCCCCTGCCGGGGGCCCACGGGGATCAGGGGAGGGGGCGGAGGTGGCGGACACCACGACGTACACGCCTTCAGGGCAGAGACGCCATGACTGCGTCCCCACCCCCCACTGCCCACCGTGCTGTCTGCCCCTCGAGCCCAGCGGGACACAGAAGGGCCCACAAAGGGCGCAGCAGCGGGTCTGAGTTAGGTCGCAACTTCCCGAGTGGAACTGACTAGGAGACCATACACATCAAAATCCACGAGGATCCAATGCGTCAGTACCATGCAGAACAAAGGATTCACATTTTACGCTTACTAAGGTCCCAAGATGAGAGCTACAGGCTCGACAGTCCCTGCTCGAGTGACCACGCTGAGTGACTAAGGGTGTCCCTGCAGCAGCGCTGGCCGTGGTGCACACACAGTCCCAGCCCGAAGACTCGAGCAGGGCTGAGGAGGACACAGCCGGCCTGCACTCGCAGGCAGGAGGGGCTGTTCCCAGACCCAGGACCGCGACAGGAGAGCGGCGGGGAGGGCCTGGGAGTGGGGGCAGTCAGGACGGGACTCGCCCTCGGGAAGGAACTTGGGGGCCCCACGAGGTGGGGACAGTGAGCCCTCTGAGGCAGGAAGGTCAGGAACAGGGTCTGATGGCCCTGCCGCAGAATTCTAAGACCACGCGAGACAGCCTGGGTTTGCAAAGAGCAGCCAAGTGATGCGGCTCCACCAGGGACCCAGCAGACAAGGCGAGGGGGAGGCCCGGGCGGGGTGGCCACAGCTTGGGTGTGGGACTGCGGCTGCAGTTCCTCTAAGAAGCTCACGATGGGTTTGGACATGATGAGTCTGGGAAGCCCGAGTGAAGACATGTATTCAGCAAACAACAGGGAATGAGGGTCTGCAGCTAAAAGGTCACGATGAGTGCAGGGGGACACAGAGGCTGGGATGACGGGACCATAAGGGGCGGGAGGAGCCTGGAACAGACCCTGCGCGGGGCAGGCAGGAGGGGCCCCAGCGCCCAGAGCCCCTGTTTTCTGGGCGAGGTCACTGCACCTCTCTGCAGCTTCCTCACTGGTAACAGGTATCTTAGATGGGTGTTTCGAGAACTAAACGCACAGATACGACCGCAACGCGCCAAGGAAACATCTGGGGTCTCTGTCTGAGGCACACGGGGGTGTCCAAGGCCCCTCCCGGGTCTCCTCCACGAGCAGCATCAAGGGCACTCAGGCTTCGGTGGGCACCGCCCCCCCTCCTCCAGACACCCAGTACCTTACACCCGTGAGAGCAGTGGCTTACACATGAACACCAAGCAAGTCACGAAAGGGACCAGAGGTAAGACACAGGGCAGCTTTCCACAGGTCAGGAGAGGCCGGCCTGCCGTTCAGACGTTCAGCCACACGGGCAGGGTCTCGCCAGCAGAGAAGGGCACCCTCTGCCCGCCCCCGCCCCTTACCTGGCCCCGATCCTTCACATGGCCATCCGAGTTTAGGACGCCTCCTCCGGTGATGACAGTTTCATAAAGTATGTACCCAGTGGACTGGCCGTTCCCTTGGTTCACGGATAGCTGTTCCATGGAGAGCGGCCCCATGGACCTCACGGGCTGCTGCAGAGACGGGAGCGGAAACCAGGCTGGGGGCGGCCTCATCACAGGCCAGGAAGCTCAGGGAACATGGGGCCAAGTGAGCCTCTGCAATGACGAGTCTGCGGCAGCCGCTCGACGCTCCGCTCTGCGGTGACCGAGAGGGGTGGGGAGGGGGTCCCCGAGGGAGGGGACAGATGCACTGGGCTCCCGCGTGGCTCAGAGGTAAAGAACCTCCCACCGGCACTGTGAGAGATTCAGGAGGTTCCATCTCTGGGTCAGGAAGATTCCCCGGAGGAGGAAATGGCAACCCACTCCACTACTCTTGCCTGGAAAATCCCACGGACAGAGGAGCCTGACTGGCGGCAGTCCACGGGGGTCGCAAAGAGTCGGACACGACTGAGTGACTTAGCAACAATCTAGGTCTCCTAATCTGAACTGTAGGAGTAGAAGGGACTGAAACTGCGAAGACTGCTCTCTGTGCCCTGTGTTCATTCCCTCCCCCCCCGAGTCCTGAGCTCACGTCCATGCGCAGGGCACTCACGTCATCCTGGTGGATCAGGGTGTCCCACAGGGATATGAAGTGACCTGCGGCCAGGGGCGCGTATGTGTCCTTAGGCTTGCAGTCTTGCTGCCGGAAGCTGGGAACCTCTGCGAACCACAAGCAGGAGGCTGGCTCCTTCCCCAGCCCCGTCCAAGGGTGCAGCGCCCTCTGCTGCCCCCGGCCAGCCTGCCCAGCACCACGAACGGACCACAGGGGCAGGACCGAGGGGAGGGAGTCCTCCTGCACCCAGAGGCCTGGCCCATGCGCCCTGCTGTCCCGGACATGGAGGCGGCCGGCACCTTGGCCTCCCCCGGGCCAGCCATCTCAGCCCTGCTGCTCAGAATCTCCTGAAAGCCAGCGGGGGAACACGCATGCTCAGATTCTGCCCCCTCTCCCCACTTCCCCCCAGACACGTGCATCTCATGGCTCTGGGGAGGTCCTGGTCCTCTAGTTTCCACCGACGGCGGGGCTGGGGGGACCATGTCTCATGCAGCCCGACTCCCCAGCCCCTGAGGATCAAACACGCTGGGGCGAGCTGGACTCGCCCAAAGACCACGTCTGCACCGCTCCCAGCCCCCCCCCCGCCCCCTACAGCCCAGAGCCCTCTGGAGGGCAGGGAGGGTACCTGCGTCAGGGTGAAAAAGCTTTTGGAACATGAGATACTCGGGTGTATAGTCTCCATCCTCTGTCAGCAGTGCCCCGTAGTCTGAGAATAGAAACAAATCTGTCACCTTCCCTAAGAGGTCCAGCCTCCAGAGGGACGTCAGCACTTGCTGCTGAGTCTAAGGGCCCTTCACACAGCCGCTCTGGGAGGGAGACCTTGAGGCAGGAAGGTGCCCAATGCTGGCTCCTCACGCTCCCCCCGGAGGGACAGATGGCAACCCCAGGGGTCAGAAGCCCAGGCTGGAGCCCATCGCAGGGACCTGGAGGTTTCCAACCAGACCCCTTCCCCTCTCTCACTCTTGCTGCCTGCTTGGTCTCTGAGCAGAGTCGCAGACTAGGGGAGACCTAGTCATCAACACCCAACACCCGGGATAGGGGGATCAAGGGAATGGGTTTCACAGTGAGCCCGGAAGAACAAAGGCTTGTGGAGTGAATCTGAGTCAGTTGAGCTAAGATGGATATACCTAGAGCCTGTTATAGAGAGTGAAGTAAGTCAGAAGGACAAAAATAGATATTATATGTTAGCGCACACACGTGGAACCTAGAGAAATGGTACCGATGAGCCTAGCCACAGGAGGAACAGAGATGCAGGCGCAGAGAATAGCTGTGCAGGCGTCCAGGCGGGAAGGGAGGGTGGGCAGGCTGAGAGCCACGTCTTCACAGACACAGGACCGTGGGTAGGACCGTGGCTCATGGGAATGTGCGTCTCGCACTGGGAGCTCAGGCAGCACTGAGTGCCCACCTGGAGGGTGGATACCTGGGGCTGATTCACTGCTGGATGGCGGAAACCAACATAGCACTGAAAAGAAATCATCCGCCAGTGAAAACTAAGGTTTTTACAAAGGCTGCACAGTGGATGGACAGAGCTAAGCTCCCAGCTTCTCTGCTTGCAAAGGCCCCGGCCGGAGACCGCAGAGGCGGGGCGGCTGCAGGCAGCCGCACGGGACCCACTGGTACTTGCCGTAGCTGGTGACCATAGGGAGGCGATGGCCGCGGAACGCAGCCCCGCCCATGAAGCCGAAGTTGGTGCCGCCATGGAACATGTAGAAGTTGAGGGAGAACCTGAGCTGCAGCATCTCCCGGGCTTCATGCATCAGCACTGCAGGGGGCGGGGAGGGGGGAGCAGAGCCTCCATGACTTCAGGACTGCACGTGCGGGGTGGGGAGGGGCAGGGGAGAGGGAGGGGGGCAGGCAAGAGGGAGAAGAACCTCTGCGACATCAGGACTGTTAGGGGTGGGGGACGGGGGGAGGGGGAGGGGGGAGGGGAGTGGAGCCTCCAGTGACTTCAGGACTGCACGTGGGGGGCGGGGGAGGGAGGGGAAGGGGAGGAGGGGCACAGCACAGCACAGACAGCACACAGGATCCGCCCGCCCTGTCGACCTCAGGGACTCCAATCAGCTGGAAGGAGGCAGGCCAGCGCCCTTGGAGTCCCGCCGACACCCCACCTCGGAGACGAGCAGGGGCGACATGCGACTCACTGTGCAAGTCCAGAGTGTTTCGAGAAGTGCCCCACCCGTCCAGAGACCTGGCGGTGTACACCATCATCATGACCGGGCCAGGGCCCTGCGGAAGCAGAGCGGCCGCGCGTTTGAGCTGGCTGGTCACCCGGCCCACCTCACCGCGGGCATCCTCATGGCCCCTCACTGCTCTCACAGTGCACGCCCGGCCTGGCCTGCCTCTCGTGGTCTCACTGTTCCAGCTTTGGAGAAATCAATGGCCGCGGCCACCTTAAGTTTCCAGAACAGCAGAATCTCTTCATTCCCTGGACTGACCCCAGGAGAGGTCTCGTAGGGAAGCACCTGACCCAGAGAAGGCAGTGAAGATGTCAAGAACCAACTGCCAACAATGCAAGCCCAGCGAGAATCCCACACAATCCCCGGCTCCTGCTCTGCCCTGGGCCAGCCCAAGCCAGCCCAAGGCCCGAGGTCGGAGGCCTTCCCTGTCCCAGGCCTTCAGGACCTATGACCTCCACATTCAGGCTCACACTCCACAGTTAAAAGTGAACGCTGCTCCTTCGAGCTCTGAAAGTTAATGCAGCCTTGGAATGTCTGCTCTCAGCGCGGGGACCCCAGCCCCCAGCCCCCTGCAGCATTCACATTCCTGCCTAAGCTAATAAATGCTTCAAAGAAAGACAAAAAGAATTAAACTAACAAAACCACTGCCAACTTTGTGCACCACAAAATCACATGACCTTTTCATTAATTTCTGCCTGGCATCCTGTAATTTAACATTTTAAAAATATTCTACTGAATTCCAAAGATAATGTGCTCACTCCTTTCGGATTGACTCAAGCTTCCCAGGCGGTGCTAGAGGAAAAGAACCTGCCTGCCAAAGCTGGAGACACAAAAGTCATGGTTCGATCCCTGGGTCAGGACAGTCCCCTTGAGGAGGGCATGGCAACCCACTCCAGGGTCCTTGCCCGGAGAATCCCACGGACAGAGGAGCCTGGTGGGCCACAGAGTTGGACACGACTGAGCACACACACACAAATGGAAGCTGTGCATCTTAAGTCCCTGCAGCTTCCTTCCTCGCAGCCCCACAGGACCCCCACATTACAGATCCTCACGTCGGGAAGGGTCTGTTACATGGGGGCTCTAGTCATCACCTCATCCTTGGGCGGGCACTGCCCCCTGCGGACACCCTGCCTTTTCAGGTGATGGCAAATTCATCACCAGACAGTATATTCCATTTCTGGAGAATTCAGATTGTGAGAAAGTACAACCCATACATGCAGCCAATAAACGTTTTGTTATTCCCTTAACCCGCTGAAATTAATTCTGTTCCCTAGTACCAGAAAGAATTTCCCCTGCTCCGTGAAAATGCTCCAAAATTTTGTGAGATTCACTCACAATTCACTCCCAATTCCTTCTTTCACTTCTTTTTTTTGGTAGAAACATCTATATTATATTCTTTCAACAAACTTCAATTAAGTGATTCAGTGCTGTTTACCACAAGCATCAGTTATGCATCCGAGACCTCGTTTACCCTGTCAGTAAGTCTGTGCTCTTTCTCCAGCTCCTCCCAGTTCCCCTGGCGACCCGCAGCCTCCGGCAGCCACTTTGCGGCTGTCCTGGGAGTCTGCTGCATTCTTCCGGGGACTGCGCACCGAAGTGGTGCCACGGGCGTTATTCGGCTCTCACTGTCTGGCTTATCTGTCGGGCTCAGTGCTGTCCAGGCTCATCCATGCGGTCACAAATGACAGATTTCCTCCTTTTTAAAAGCTGAATGTTTTCCACTAGATACACGTATCGTATTCTCTTCATCCGCTCATCTGTCCTTACCCACCGGGGCTGCTTCCACACCGTGGCTGCCGTGAGGCATGGCGCTGTGAAGAGGCAGCACGCACAGCTCTTCAGGATGATAACACCTACGATAACACCTCCCTAAACACCTACAGAGGAGAGCGCTGCATCAGAAGTGGTTCTGTTTCCCCACGAACCTCCATACGGACTTCCACAGTGGCTTGGAAGAGTTGCTTCTTTGCTATGGTCTAGCAGGTCTTACGGGCACAGTCCCCGTGAGCCTTCGGAGCTGGGTGTTTGAGAGCCCGCTGTTCGGGCAGGGATCCAGGAACTAGGCGGCAGGAGTGGCAGAGGCGGAGCTGGGGGTGCCCCGGGGGCACGGCGCTGTGTCGGGGTGGAGCTCCTGGCAAGAGTGCGTCTCAGCCTCTCCAAACCGCTCTGACGCATGTTCTCATCCTTCTGCCCTGACCCTCTCCTCACCAGAGGAGTTCAGATGGCAATGGTATAAAACAAGGAATGAGCATGGGATCTGGAGGCCGAAGCAC